CCCCCAAAATCTCTACCAAACAAGCTCTTAACTAATTAACTTAACAGGATTTTTTTGGTTGAAATTTTTAAAATACTTTCGTTTTATTTATGATCTTTTTTTTTTCCAATTTCTACCCAAAGTTTTCCTCTCATTCCCTCTGTGTGCTCCATTTTTTATATTATTCCTTTTTACCGTATGTATTTTTCTCTCTTTATTTAGTATCGTCTTCGCAACTCCTCGATATTGTTATAAAATAAGGCGATACCAAATTGTTTTGATATTGCTTATTAAATTTAATAAATGAGAGTAATATGACAAGATAAAAATAATAATAATAGAATACCAAAATTCATGTGGAAAACACTGCGAACAGAGGAGAAGAATTTAATATAAGATGAAAGTATACAAGATTTTGTGCTTACAACTTGCTCCATAATACAATAAAGAGTTAATATATAGAGTGCGTGTCAAATCCTAATTATAGTATTTTAAATGGAAAGAGTATCTTAAAATTCATCAAATTGCAAAACATGTTTGTGCTGGATAACATCAGTGCTCGGGTAGCAAAGCTCACGCACATCGAGTGACAATGCAATGCTTCGTTTGGTGCTCAAGCTTTGAATCTCTATTCCAAAATTCAATTTTCACTTCGAATGGCGCCCAATCTCTATCCTAAATCCATATTTTGACTTCCTCTCTTAACCAATCCATTAATACAAGATGGCATTTAGGTCACACTTCAACAAATCTCCACCTTGATACAAATTCTACTATAACAAAGTTTTAAAAATTCTCTACCTGAGTGCCTAATTTCTGTTGATTAATATCCAAATATTTTGTAGAACCCTATAAGATATATAAGTGGGACCTTCTCTATCCTTTTATTAAAACACAAGCACCTTTATTAAGTTTCAAAACTCCACATTCACTAATATACTTGTAACCTTTTGAATCAAGAATGCTCAAACAGATAACGTTTCTCTTCAAATCTTGAACATATATCATCTCATCAAGTTTCCTGACAGTTCCATCAAGTATCTTAATTATGGCCCTTCTAATGACAATTATCTTATAAGGTACATTATTTTCCATTATCACAACACCTTTTGAAACTGCTCCACATGTTGAAAATCAATCACGATTAGGACACATATGAAAAGTACAAGTTGTATCAAGAATCCAATCCTCGTCAATTTGGAGTTGCTGTCAAAAATAACTAAAAATTCTCCATCATTGTAGCAATTTTCTACAATACTGGCTTCACTTGAATTTTATAATTGTTTTTCCTTTCGATTTGCAGTAATTGATTCATTTCTATTCTGCAACTCATA